CCCCCCTCCCTCTCCCCCGCCCAATCTACAAACCCAAAACCCCCAAAAAGCTCCAACCCTCCAACCAACGCCTTTCTTTTGGTCCCGCCCCCCAACGAAAGTCCCGTGTTTCTTCCTCTTCACGCTTCCCGCATCTTCACTCTTCCCTCCCTATCACACCTCCCCCCCACCCCCACCCCGAACCTCGTCGCGACAAGTGCACTTGTCTCCGCTCTCCTCATCCTCTACATAACCTTATCTGTCAACGTCCGCTCTACTTGCTCCCTCCTGCCCAAGACATCTCTTTCCACCAACCACCTCGCCCCGTTTCCATCTCCCTCCTATCTCGGTCTTCACCTTCCTTCCCTCCGGGCCCCCTCTCCCATCTCACCAACCTCTCCCACCAACATCACCTCGTCTCGACCTATCCATCTCGCCCTCATCGTCTTCCTTTGTCATCTGCTTGGACCAACACACACTGGGGTAAGAGCAACCTGAAACGCCCCTTGCAAACACACACCTGGCCCCATATCGCCTCCCTTTGTACTATACCCCACCCATGACGACGGAGAGCTCCGCTATGTACACATCCTCCCTCCTCCCAACCGCCGCAAACTCTTCTATACCAACGGCCGTCTCCACCGACCCGCCTGCAGTTTCTACGACCGAGGCCCCAGTCACATCGAGTCCGGCAACCGTAGCCGCTGCAGCTGCAGCCGTTGCCGCTCAAGCACAAGTCCAAGCTCAAGTCGCAGACGGAAAATCTATGCCTCTGCCAACACCGCAAACCACCGCCCCTCAGATGCCACAGATGGCCGCCGCCGCTGCCTTTGGTCAGTACCCACCTGGAATGGTATTTGCCGCTCCAGACCCCGCTGTCATAGAGGACCAGCCGACATATGTCAATCCGAAGCAGTACGCCAGAATTCTCAAGAGGCGAGAGAGTAGAAAGAAGCAGACCGGCACTGATGTCACAAGCTACACACCACGGAAGCGCTCGTATATGCATGAGAGCAGACATAAGCACGCTATGCAACGCCGTCGTGGCCCCGGGGGTCGCTTCTTGTCCAAGGAAGAACGCGAAGAGATGGCTCATCAGTCTATAAAGGAGACACCAGCTGTCGGTCAGTGAAGCGTTGACCAATTCTTGTCGCGTTGTCTCTATCACTCGCCGTCCATCAAAAACCTCTCCTTCTGTCGCTTTCGTCTGTTTTATTCCTCGCTTTCTAAACCGTCTTCTGCCTTTCTCCGCTTGTTAATCCTCATCAACCAGTTGGCAAATTCTCTCGCTCATTTGGGTGTCGAGGGAGCAGAATTCCCTGCCATGTTTTGTTCCTTTTTGTCACAACTGGGAAGCGTCTTGTACAAAACATATTTGGTGCTAAAGATGAACGCGCTCGCCTTTCAGCGGCAGAGCGACTTCTTTTTGTGCCCCCCCTCTCCCCCTCCCTGACGACATCAAAAATGTCCGCCGCTGGTGTGCCCTGGTTTCATGCAATTCTTGCCTGTTCAGTTTCAGGGCCCTGCGTCAACATGAAGGCAACCATGCTCGCTGCATGGCTCTGCTCTGGGTGTCGTTCTGGTTGCGAGGAATTGCTTTCATCGTCATCGAAGCGGCTTGGCTTCTCTGTGGAACAATGCGTGGTGTATAGAAGAAACCATAATGCGCAACTTCGCAGTCTTGCCGCCATTTCTCATGAACGAATTGGGGTTAAGTGCTACACTTTCTCATACGTTTTAAAAGTCTTGGGCGTTTTGCACCTGCTTTCTTCGTGCACAGATCGGTTGCCTCGTGTAGTTAGTCACAGCAACGGTTTTCTTTGTTCGATTGTCAATGCCCCGTCATGGCTGTTTATGGCTGTTGCATGAAGATGATTTCTTCATCGGAAACGGGTGGCCGTGCCTTGGCGTCGACTTGAGATGAAGGCGCCCCTGCGCTGGGCTTCCCTTTTTTCCTGAATGCAAATGCTGTGTACAGATAAATGGCGTCCCACTCGTCGGGCGACATGGTGCCAGTCTCGTCCACCACGTTCATGGTCCGGAATAAGTTGCGGTAGTCATCGTAGTTGTCAGCTGTGAACTCTTTGTAAAAGTCGTGAAAGTTGCACTGCATCAAGATCTCGAGGTCGTACTCAAGAGCGAGTTGTTTAAATGTGGGAAAGTGGACGAGGAACTCAGGGCAGTCCTCGACGTTCTGGTCCAGAGTGAAAAAGTAGCGAATGCCGTAGGCGTTGCCTCTTGCAAACCTTTTGGTGGCAAAACGTTCATCCAGCTTAACCTTGTAAACGCTTGACGAAATCTCATCGCCATCCACAGCGCGGACTTTGCGGACCAAGACATTAGCGTCGACGGTAGTTCCAATAAAAAAGCCACCCGGGTTTAAGCGGTCGGTAACATTTTTGAGCAACATTCTCGCGCGATCCTCCGATTCGAAAGCGTAATGTACGGCAAACTGACAGCTCACGACATCGAAGCGGGACTGCGAGGGGACGAAGTCGGCCAACGAGACGCCGAAGCAGTCGCCGACGAGCAGGACGGGGCGGAACGGGGCCTGCGACAGGCGGTTGTAGCGGTTTGCGGCCTCCTTGACGGAGAGCTCTGCGACGTCGCAGGCGACGTAGGAGGTGATGCCGGCCTCGACCCACTTGTTGAGGTCGCCGCCCTTGCCGCAGCACAGGTCCAGGACCGAGTAGCCCGGGCGCGTGTGCAGGGCGATGAGGACGCTCTTGAGCCAGTTGTTGAACTGGCGCATGCGGTAGATGCGGCTGCGCTTGCGGCCCTGGCGCCCGTCGCCCTTGCGCTTGTTGTAGTGCTCGGCGACGGCGGTGTTGTCCATGGCGGGGGGGGGGGGGGGGAGGGGTTGGCGAGCTGCGCGCAGGTTGGCGCGGTGGGTCGGAGAGGAAACGGGGGACAAGTCGGTGCGGTTGAGCAGTTGGGGCGGCGGAATTAACGAAAGGTGGTGGCTCCCCTGAACGAAAGGGGGGGACGGGGAAGGGGGGTTGCGTGTGACGCCGGTGGGAGTGTGAATTTTCAGAGCGGCGACGGGATGAAATAGAGAGTGGGATGTGGCAGGGAATTGGCCGCCTGCGGATCTAGTCGCGTCTAATGGGAATCGTTTGTTTACGAGGTGATGTGGACATAGGGCGGTGCTATCCTGCCAAGTGTATCGTGTTGATGGGGATGAATGCGGTGACGCGGCCAATGAAGCTTGACCTTGGTACGGCGATAACGATGCAACAAACGAGTTTGCGGGTTTAGAATATCCAAAATTCATCATCGAGCACGAGGTGCCCAGTGCCGCTAGGCTTGGCAGGGCTGAAACAAACCGCCTGCCCGCATGCGTGAGTTGCCGTGCCCGGCGGGGAAGGGTGTTGGGTGCCCTGGCGTTTAAAGAGTTGAACAGTGTTTTCGATGGAGAGGACGCAGAAATTTGTCAGTCGCTTTCCTACGGTGTACGCGTCAATGTACAGTGAGTGTAGGGATGAAACCGCCCCGCCCGGAAATAGGGCGCGTCTGTAAGCCCTTGCAGGCAGCCGGGCGTCTCGTTGTATCCGCCTCACGGCCGACGCATAAATACGGGTAGGAGAGTCGAGCTTTCCTATCCCGCTGCCGCTCCTCCCCCATGTCTATTTCTCTCCCACCCATCCCTGGCACTGCTGCCCTCGTGTCGTGTCTCTTTCTTTCTTTATTTTCCTTTTGATTCTTTCGTCTTTTTATGTAATGAACATTACAACAGGATCCACAGGCTACACGAATGAAACATTCGTGTAGCATGTGGATCCCGTTTAGCTGATGTGCCACTGGCCATTCAAGCATCGTATAACTAGGAATATCTTGAGAGATGGATGCACCTTCCCGGTTGTTGCTGCAATGCGTAAGCGGGTGTCGCAGAAACGCTTAAATGTATCATTTTTATGGCTATGTTCTAGAAGCCAGCTGCCCTTTCGTCGCAGAAGGAGCAACTGCCCAAGTATTGAGCTTGATCCATGGCTTGCATGATGCTTGAATGCTCAAAGAAGCCTAGCCTGCAACGCTTCATGTTGCCTCGCAAGCTCGGATCGCGACTCTGTCCTCGCCCTGTCGGGCACCCTGGCAGCGCGTATGTCAATTCCTGCCCGCAGTAAGTGAGGCGACGTGCTGTGTGATGTGAATGCGTCGCCCACACACCAGCACAAGCGTGAGCGAGTTGGGTGTCCCTGAGGGCACATGCCACTCGCTCTCGCAACGCTTGTCCTTATGCCTTGTGAGGAGCAATTTGATTATAAACCAATTGCTCTCAGTGTGCCTTCTGTAAAGGGGCCCCCGATACTGTACCAAGGGTATCTCATACGTCAAGACATTCGTAGTTTATTGGTTGTAGTTGGTCACAGGACATCGGGTAAGAGAGGACACACAAAGGCTCCATTAAACCGAACTACTGTATATGTTTAGTTCGGTTTAGTTTAGTTATGTTTATGCTACAGTGTGTCTGTAGCATAAACATAAAGAGAAAAAGACATGATGAGAAAGGAAACTGCCACAATACTATTGGAGCATTCGGGAGGAAATTTAGGAGAGCATAATCAAAGTGTCGTCTAGTCGCCCCGAACGGGAGCAGCAATTTGATATCTAGAATGATAATCGCGTGGATTACTCGGCTATATATTGACTCAGTACGTATTGACTCAATACGTAGCCGAGTAGAGTAATCCACGCGAATATCCATTCTAGGTATCAAATTGCTTGCACATGTCTTCTAATCTTGCAGCAATATTACGGAATTGTGGTCGTCGGCTGGGATCGTCTGCAAAGCACTCCACAATCATCTGTCTAAGTTCAGGGCCACATTGTTCTGGCGCTGGCGTCGGAAGTTTGAGACCCCGATTACCAACCTTGTATAAAATTCGCCTGGGGTGCTCATCACGCCATGGCTTCTCACATATGACCAGTTCCCAAAGAATTACGCCAAACGAAAACACGTCTGATTTCTCGTTGAAGGCGTCTCGTCTCAAAAGTTCAGGTGCCATCCATTCAGGAGTACCGCCTACGAGTCAACTCGTACGTTAATACGGCCCGTATTAACGTACGAGTTGACTCGTAGTCTGCTAAGCCCAAAGTCCGTGATCTTGACTTCCCGAACGTTTGTCCCTAGCAGAATATTTGGTGACTTGACATCGCGATGGATAACAACAGGATACTGGCCGTGCAAGAATGCCATCCCCTTTGCTACGCCAAATGCGATCCACACAATCTTGAGAAGCGGAAACGCTCCAAGAACATTTCTACGTCTGCGATGAATGGCGCGGTACAGACTGCCCCCGGGCATAAACTCCAAGATGATTGCCAAGTTTGGAACGTGAATACATGCTCCCTTGAACTGTACAATGTTGGAGTGTCGGAGCTT